ACAAATTTATGCATGAATGTGCTTTGTTCTTATTTCTCTTCAAAAAGGTTGAAAAAGGATGTATACAGACGCACGGATGCTATATTTGCTGCATATATAGCATATATTCGCGTATCTGTTTTTATGTGATATTTCCATGAAATCAGTCTCTTATCACTGCGTTTGGCGTGATATGCATATAAAGTTGCAAATGTTAAATTAATTTTGTTTTTCTGAAATATAAATTAAAAATGTGAAGCATTTTTAACATCACAGCATTTAATGGCATCACAGCTTTTACACCTAATTTGATGAGAATTTCGTGGAATTGCTACTCCTCTTTAAATTGCATTGCATGGATGTGGGATAAAAGTGTTTTCTTTACCAAAAAGGATTTTCATTTGAATTGTTAATTAGCTGTGAAATCATGTTAAATTTATTATACAAACATTTTTATTATACAATTCTTTAGAATTATTGTAAATTCACACCTTAATTTATTTAATGATTTCACTTATTTCATTTATTAAAAGCGTTTTCAACAGAAGTTGAAAGATATTTCAATTTGCGTGCATATCACTATTATTTCAGTAGTATCATTTTAATCAGTAAAGTGGCAATACAATATATTTAAGGCACTAAATATTTTAAAAAATGATTTTGTTTAAGATTAGATGACTCAATTAACTCAATTTCACACACTCAAGGTTTATACAATACTGAAACTATTTCTTTGCATAACCTAGTCCTGTAAAATAATTCCAACAAAATGCATTGGACTTCAATTGAAAATTCAAACAAAAACAACAAGTTTTTGGGTAAATTTGAAATTATTCATCAATGTAGTATCCTATAGAGTAATACAATCATTATAGTGCTTTTATGACATTTCCATAACTCTCTTATATAATGATTTATCTTTGGCTTTAAAATATTCTTCAGTTTGCACGATGACTTTTCTATCGGTAGTTGATGAAAAAGAATACATGCTTATCTGAAAAAACGAACGCCAAAGTCTTACAGGTTGTCTGTTGCGTTTTTGACCGGTTGAGGTTTGGGTAAGGTTCGCCAGCTCCTATCCACTCAGCTGACTGCCGATTCGACTGAGGAGTGTATTGAAATTTCATTCAATGCTAGACATCGACACAAAAGGTATTTTTTGTTCTGCTTTAATAGCTCCAAGCAGCTCTCAGAATTATCGATATGTTGTTGTTTTTGGTCAACAGTCAGCAAAAACGGCACACACTTCAAAAATGAAACCGATATATTTCTTTAAAATGCTTAAGCTGTCAGCTATCTACTGCAACTTTAGTTTACGGTTTGCTAAACCGATTTTGTGTGCTTTTTTAATGCTTCCCGGTGTCGCCACCACTTTTAGGCAACCAGCACGTTTGGCATTACCAGTGTTTTTATGACCAGTTTAAAATCAGCTAGTCACTTCTCTAAAATTTTTGTCGATGGAGCAGAATCCGTGTAGCACTTATCAAATCAAGTTAAAATATAAATTTATCTTTAAAAAGAAATGTAGATCATGTGCCATGCCATTTATTCAAACAATTAATTAAGAATATGTTAAACCTACAGATTATATATACTTTGATAAAATGATTTCATTAAAGAAATAATTCATAATATATCAGAATTTCCTATTAAAAATAATTACCACATTTTACTTAAAAAAGGTAGTCTTATCAAGTAACTGAAACGTGAAGCATTTTTATTTCATCGATCTCATTAAAATTTTAGAGTTTTTGAAACCAATATCTGAAACCAAATATTTTAAACCGTAATCTTATGTATCTGGTATATTTCGAGAATATACAATATCGGTTTATTAGCTCTGACAGTCCGAACAAAGGACAACAAAAACAATTTTAAAATACTAAATTTCAAATTTAAAAACACTGTGGTACTCTCTCTCTCTACCAATATTGTGGAGTAAACAAGGTTTTTAATTTAATAGGATTATATAAATTTTTTCGAATTACATATGTGATTTTAAATTGATATTCTTCATCCATTTCTTCCGTAGTTAAAAAAACTGTTATAAGTTAAAGTTTCCTGGCATCGTATGCATTACTGAGTAAGTTTATCTTAAAGCAATTGTTACTGGTTGGTTTAGCTGATAAAATACTTTTTAGTATCTACGGATATTAAATATTTTATTTTTAATAAATTCAGTGGATGTTATTCTTCTTTTTTATGATCGACTGTTCGACTGTAAAAACTGTTCTTATCTCGGAAAGGAGCTTAACTTAGCTAAATGAATGCTGTAAAAGGAATTCCATTCCACTTAAAATTAATGTAAATGAAATAAGAACAAATGCACTCGTTAAATTTACAGATTATCACAAAACATTAGTTGAGTATATGAAGTTGAATAAATTTATTTGATGATCTGAAGAGCTAAGAGCAAAAATAAAATGTTTTAAAATTATTTGCTGAATTAATTTTGCTTAATTCTTAAGCACACATTTTATGTTAAAGAGCTCAGAATTAATTAAAAACATTGAAAGCCTGCAATAAGTTTCTGGGCATAAGTTCTAAGCATTGAGAATGGAATATAATTTCCAAAGTAATGTTTAGAACGACGTAGTTTACTCAGAACTAATGCACTGTAGGCATAATAGCAAATAATTATAAATTAAAATGCCACTACTCATGTTTATGAAGGTTCAATATTTAAACAGCCTACTTTTGCTATTACTGCCAATGTTGCCAATGTTGCCAATGTGTCATACATAATGTGTGGCTATGATGTGGCATCTAACCAGAGAGGCCAATTATAATAATTTATCAAAATGTTGATGAGTTTGGCAAATAAACGAGCAGGCAAACGCACAAATGCATGTGCCAGTAGGCAGGCACGTAGGCACGCCTTTACGCCTACACGTTTTAGCAAGTAAGTGGAAAAGGAGAAAAATGTTTTTGAAATTTTGAAAATGATAACGATAAGTAGTCATATGCATATGCACACACATGCACACTCACGCACACATTCATGCTTGGACAAACAAATTTGTTTATATGCATGCGAACGCTCGAATCAGCTTAGGAGCATGAAAACGTATCACTTATACGTACCGTGGCACCATAAATTTACGCCAGCACAAATGGAAGTGCTTAGCACAAGTACAAGAGCAGAAGAGTACACAATTATACAATTACACAAATGCACAAAAGCACAAAAGTATAAGAAATTTGTTTACATGTCTTACCATATTCAGTCGAGCAAACGTTTGCTTAGCAGTCTGTCTGCTCGTTTGAGGTTTAAGTGTTTGTGTGAAAATGCGTGTGCGTAGCATATATTATTGTTTGTGTTATGTGCTGTTATGTTATGTGCATGTATTTGTTATTATTTGCTTTTCATGCTACTCATAGATAAGGAATGAGTTGATATTATTGACTTTTGTATGCTAACTATGACTTCCGTCGTGTAATGTAGCACTGCTGCTGTCGCTGCTCGTCCTTACTCTATACCAACGAAACAATTTCGATTTGCATGAGCAGCAGCACAACTTCCTTCAAAAATAAAAACACTTCTCCTGGCTGAAACGTGTTAGTTTCATAACAATAACTCAAAAAAAAAAAATCAGATAGAAAACACAACATCAAGAAATTACACTTTTTGTTTGGATTTTTTGTATTTTTTTTTATTTGTTTTATTTTTTTTTTTATTTTTGTATAACAAGACGAGGTTCCTACACTTCATGCAAAATTGAATGCCTGCGATTGTATTTAATATTTCTATGGGATTTGCTTCTGTTTCTGTTGATGGCGGCTTTGGAGTTGGTATACCGGCACTGCTCTTGTACTTGAAGTTATTATTTTTTGTAGGTGTTGTTGGCATTGTTGTTTGTGTACAGGTCAAAACTTTTATGCTATCATAAATAAACCATTGTTATGTTTTGTTTTCCCATGACTTTTTTCTTTTACTCTTTATCTGCTTTATTTTTTTGTGGATTTTTTTCGGATTTTTGTGGGAAAGTTTTGTATAGCACCTCGCTGACTATAACAACAAAAGCAGGATATTTTTCCCCAAAACTGTTAAGAAAACATTTTTTAAGTTCTTTGTAAGTATCTTGTGTGAAATATGTAATATGAAATATAATAGCAAATAAATGAAGCCATTGTTGTAAGTGTAAATTTGAAAGTCTCGGTAAAATTTTTCATAAAAAATTTAATGCAAAACACACGTAGGAGCAGTTAGGACAGCAGATTTACGTTAAATTTAACACTGAAAGGTCTTTAAGAGAATAAATATGTGTTTAATATTATCACAATGGAATCTTAGTGCAGGCGAAATGTTATGCTTATATTTTATTTATATGCAAGGCACATAAGATATGTGTATACTGTTGAACTTAAATTTTGAGAATTGATAGTTCAGATTTCAGAATTTTAGAACAATAAACAACGGAGTTATGTCGTTTTCGATTTTGTAATCTTTAGTTACATTCCTAAATTTTTTTTTTGCTAGATTTTGAAACTCCAATCGTACATGTTTAAGGAAATCCTAACATTATTTGCCCACACATACGTTGAAAAGTCAGAACTTTATTTTATTGTTTTTTATATTTAGCTTTTACTATGATATTATTATCATAGTAAATTAGCCATATTATTAGACATATTATTAGCCATACTATTAGCCATATTATTATATGGCTATTTCAATATCCATATGCCGGTTGACTCTATTGAAATATTGTGTTATACTTAACGATGTTAATATTAAAAATTTTATGACTCAAAATTTTAGATTCCAGTTCTCAATAAACTGGTCATCTTCAAATAATCAAAACAACAGAAACCATCTCAGATATGAAGAAAGTTCTTCTTCTATATAACTTATGTATTAAGTTAAATATATATAATTGAATATATTTAAGGTATCTAATTTTTTTCAGCATTAGTAGGCTGTGTCACCAAGTAAAAACTAAATTTTTTTTGAATAAAACTAATATGTAAGAAAGCTTCAAATATATTTTGAGTGTTTAAATTTTGTGTATATTTTTGAATTTGTAAAATTGCAATATTTTGTGTATCATTAATGTTGCAAAAAGTAATAAATTTGATGAATAAAAATTAAAATGAGTATTGATCCCGATTTGGTTATTGGCTCCGTTAGTGAATACATTATTTGTCTAATCTGTTTTGGCGTATTTGATGATCCAATAGAATGTCATCCATGTGGCCATGTATTCTGTCGCAATTGCGCAGCGAGATGGTTTGAAAATCATGAATATTGTCCAGTTGACCGCAAGCGTGTAACTCATAAACAATGTCCTTTGGGTATAGTTCTTAAAATGCTTACGCGTACTCACCTTAAATGTGAATACTTCAATAATGGTTGTAAGGAAATCCTTAGATTATGTGACTTTATAAACCACACTAAAACTTGCGAATTCGGTCCCGAAGGGGAGTTAATATGTCGAAAAGGCTGTGGTTGTAAAATCAAAAGAAAGAACATTGAAATGCATGATTGTGTTGCACATCTAACGGAACTAATAGCTGCACACCAAGACAAAATATACCCAGATAAACAGGCATTGAGGTGCTGTGGTGAAACCTTGGATTGCTTAAAAAGGGAATGGAGTCAAATGTGTGATTTCATGTACATGAAACATAAAATTGACAGAAAACCACAGGATAAAATAAGTAGATTACCAATAGCTATTCACCATTGTTTTCAAATGTGGTCGACTTCTTTACCGTTGGCTAGTGTAACAATGTGGGGAAAAATTTTCCCAAGACCTGGTGCGAGACTCCAACGTTGTTTAAAGAAAGCGTTAGCTAAGCATAAATGCCCACAAATGTTTGCTGAAATGCTTCTTAAGAACTCAACTGAAACCAATTGGCCGTTTGGAATAAGTGACATGTATGTTCGTAAAAAACATTTGAGTATTTTGAATACATTTGTCCTTAGAAAAATACCGGATATGCAAGCAGTTGTTATGGATTTTCATCAAAATAGGCACGTCTCATTAGAGTATAGAACGTATCCTGGATTGGTATTCGTTTTTGAAAGTGGCGTTGAATAATAATTTTGTAAATAATATTGAAAATTTTTCTTCTGATGGCTGTTAAAAGTTTAGGTAAATTTTTTAAATTCTTCTTTTTATTTATATAAAATCTTTAACTACTTTATCTGTTTTAAAAAATTACATAAAAACATTTTTATAACATTTTATTAATTACTATTCTATTTTTTCTTTTTAGCTGTTGCGTTTGAATTAACCACATGACATTTTTCGAATTTTCATTGTTATTATCACACGGATTTTTTCGAAAGCATTATATCGTATGATGAAGCCTTCTAGCAATGAAATGTGCCAAAGCAGTCTTATATATGGATTAATTCCAAAAATAAAATATACATGCATTGAAATAAAATGTCGTCAGTTAATTGATCATAATTTTTTATTTCATATTATTTTAATCCTAATTGTAAAATTTTTTTGTATCAGTAACCTAATGTTTCGTCAGAAATTAATTACAGGAATAGCTGATCGTTATTGTTATGTTCTTTACTTGTATTCATAATGTTAGTTGAATAATTATAATGTAATTATAATGTTAGTTGAATTAAGCTAGCGTTGCAAATGCACTTCACGACGACAACAACCGGAAACATGAATTTGTTTTTTTACATTTTGACAATCGGGTAGTGTTGCCACAATTGAATATATATCACAGTTATAAAGATGATCATTTTTACAAATACATAATATATAAAAAGTATTGAATTATAATTATATAAAAAGTTCATCTGATAGACTAGAAAACTTAAACCACTTAAACCTTCTTTCAAATCCGATATTATCCACAAGACTTGTAGCTAAATCTTTATAACATTAATTTCCTTCTTTACAAAATATATCTCATGATGCATAAAGTAGTTTGAAAAAATAGCATATATTTCAGAAAGGTGCGTTTGAAGAATTTAAAGGTACTTGCAGCATCCCAAAGTTGTATATCGAATGTCAAGAATTTTATTCTTTAAACTCATCGGACAGTTTTACCCATGCGATTATAATACTTTCATTGTTTTTGGACTAGTTGCAATCCTTTCCCTTTTATATTATTGTCCAGGTAAAACTTCGGCATATATATTTATTTGTTTATTTTTATTTATTATTAATATAGAATATTAAGCTTAACTTAAGGACAGTCGTCTCTTCTAATATAAGAACAAATATATCCAGTTCTGATTTTGGACATTGATTTTTGCAATTTACTTTATAAACTGTTTCTCAATTTAGTTAAGCTGATCTTCTGATATTCCAAAAGTTCTGACTGAAGTTCAACCGATTCTGCAGTTGCTGAATAAACAATAATCACTGTATAGACAGTCATATCGTTAGTTAACATCAAAGTAAATAACTTCACTAAAAGATAAGTCTTTGAAAACAAGAAGTCTGACTTAGGAAGTAATTTTTTGCTTGTTTATTTAAAAAAATGACAGTGTACCTTAATTTTAAAATAAAGTAATTTAGTAATTTTTATTTAAATTACATTGACCGAAGTTTGGCTTAGGTGCCAAATGGTTTAAAATAAGTTACTTCTCTATGCCAACTATTTCCATTTCAAATACAAATTTTTGAGGATTTCCTACACTGACCTAGTGTATGAAAACTTATTTACATGCGTTGATCAAATTTCTGGCTCTAGATTAGTGATATATAACTTAAGTATACCTGGTTGTATATAGTTAGATACATTTTAAATGGCTAATGCAGTACATAGAGTGAAGTACAATACAGAAAAATTACAACAAAAACTTATTTATATCCGTTGACCAAATTTCTGTATACCTACTTGTATATAGTAAAATTAATACTAATAATAAAATTAATAAAATGTAGTACAATAAGTCTATGACTACAACTTGGCAATAGTAAATCTTTTATTATTATTTATAATTATATAATTTGAAATATTGAATACAAAGAATATATATACATTTAAATATTAAGAATATATGTATAAGCTTAATATAGACCAACAAAATATAACAAATAATAAATATATTTGGACTTCCACAATATAAAATGCATTAATTAAAAGTTTTATGGTAAATAAAGTGAATCAATTTTATTACATGAAAATCCACAAATTTTAAGTAAACATGTTTTTAATTAAATATCGAACCACAAACTATTTAAATAATTTAAACAATTTTCTTCTACATAAATATTCAATATTTTTGTATTTTTGGTTTCAATTGAATATTGAAATGTATTTATAATGTTACAGAAATAACAACAACACATAAATTTGGTGTTCATTAAGAGAAAAAGCTGTTTCGATACAAAAATAAAACAATATTTCAATATTATTGCAGTTATATAGAATTATAATGAGTATCTGAAATTGATTATTTCAATTCAATTTGATGTATCAAAATAATGCTTATCGCAATTTTGTTACAAAATTATTTAGAATTTTTAATGCAGTTAAAATGATACAAATATGTGAACATAGGTGGCGATTTAAGTAGGGATACTCAATTAAAATCATCTCAAAATGCTTTACTTATTAAATATTAAACAAAATTGCAGTTAGTGAAAGTATACGGTGTTCAATCATTTTTTGTTTCCTATACCATATTTCCACTGCTTTCTTATGGCACATTCACACTGTTTATTTTAGGCTGCTTTCCTGATTATAGCCACTAATGAGAGTGAATAACCGTACATATAGCTTTCATATAATTGAGTTCATTATTAATCAATCAGCTCATTTAAGACTGCGGTTATATTACATGAGAGTTTCGTCTTACCTATTCGTACGAACAAATCAAATGTACATAATCACACGTGAGTGTTTACAGTTATTGAGAACTATTCGCGCGTTATTTCTTTCGTGCGAAAATTTTATTAAGACTATGTTCAGACAGTTGAGTTTCCTTAATTTCTTAAAGATAAATTAAGTTAATTTTGAAAGTGTTCACATACTGTCCAAATTGAGGAAATCATGTTTTTTGTTTACAAATCGAATGTTAAAAATTGCATGCTCCAAACACAATTTGTACATGGGAAAATTTTAAAGTTGATTATTATAACTGTAAAGAATGGCCTTCAATAGTTTTAGAATTTTCCTCTATAATCTTTTCCTCTATAATATATTTCCTTTTAATCCACTATAATTTTTTATTGCAAACGCATTCTTGATTATTAATTAAAAGGACTTACTAATTTTATTTAATAATTAAAGGAAAATGTTACAGCTTGTTAATTTACTCAAAACGAAAATTTGCTATAAATAAATAAATAATTAATAAATAAATAATATTAAAAAAAAGTAAAATATAGTAAAAATAAGTTGAAATTGTTACAAATTTGTTGAGTATTGTATTGTAATGCACTCTCGAAAGTTCAAGTACTTGATCATTTTAGATGGAATACCATTCAGGATATAATGGAATGTTGCCTCTTTTATTCTAGGGGATTTAAAAAACTTTTGTTTACATTGTTCTAATTCGCCAAAAGACCTGAAAAACTTACTATTTTTATTCGTTAGGAAAAAAAATCCTGCACCCATATTCTTCTTTTATTGTTTGAAATTAATAAATAAATTAATAATAGATTTTGCGCTAAATACAATGGAACTTCTCTATGCATTTTGTTTGCAAAACAAAACTGTCATTTTGCCCGCAATGCAACCAGAACATGCGATGTGTTCGTACGAGAAAACATGTGTACGAACAAGCAAGAGAAAATTCGCTTATAAAGTGACCGCAGCCTAAGGCGAAAAACGTTGAATGCAACCCTAAATATGAATTTCCCACAAGGGAAATTACCAAAATATGAAATACGTGTTATATGTTCTATATGTAAAATGTGAACAAACAATAGTTGAGCTGTGAGTCTTTCTTCCTATTAATTGAATATATAATTGATATATAAAACGTTAATAAATGATTTGATATTTCAATTATATATTTAAATTTTTTTTGTGATATATTATTAAGTGAAGTTTTTAAAAGTTCCTCTACTTTTATCATGTTGTCAGAGAAATTAGTGAATTATTGCACAAAATGCTAAATGACTGTATAGCTTAGGGAAATAAAACTGTGGTAAGACTTCATTTATGGTGTGAGTTTTCGCGCGGCCAGAACGTCAATTTTTATGGAAGTACAATATTTAAAGATGTTATTTGAATAAAATTTAACAGATATGATATTTTCAATATTAATAGTTTTCCATTCTTTGAAAACCCAAACCTAAATCCCCTTGCACTCCTCTGTTTGCTTTAATTTGCACAACATTTGTGTTTACTATTTATCATTTAAGCGACTGCATTTAATTTCATCAAAACGCTAGAAAATGTTTTTATTTGCAATTGGTTGTTGCATTACTTGGCGTTCTGTTGCATTTCGACCACACGCAATTGCCTAATAAAATTTTATGCACCATAAAACACACAAGGAGACAAGGACATATTACGTTGAGATAACTAAACAGTAGCGGGGAGGCATATAGTATACGTTCAGGTAATTATATAAACCCACATAAATTCATTATATATATATTTTTTAGCACCACACATTAGGACAATTCGAAATTAATTTAGAATTTATTTTTAATGGCGGCTTTAATGTTTAAATAGCTGTGGTTGTTGAGAGTCCATTCAACGACAAAATTCAATTTCGATTCAAATTATGAAATCCAATGCCGCATTTTGCTACCATGGGTGTGGGGAACCGGATGTGCACTAACGCGATTATGCGTAATTAAAACAAAACACAATTTTGCATATAATTTTAATATTTTTTATAAATCAGAAATAAAATCATTTTTGCTTAATTGTTGTGTAATTTATATTTGACTATTATTTGATTATTCATTACGAAATTATATTTTTATTGATTGTTTGAAAAGATTAATTGAGTTTTGAACTCTACATATACAGGCAGAAATATAAAATTATTTAAGAATAACATGTTTTGTTTGTTTTAAATACAATTATATTTATGGTATACGAAGTACAATAATTGGGAATATGGTTTATGTTACTAATATTAATATTTCAAAATATTATTCGTATTTAGAAGAGTAACTAAAAATAATAAAGATAATTAGTTTCCGAGGTTAGTTTAACTAGCACTTCGTTTTTTGATTTTTTTTGCTTAAATCATTTAATTTTTATTTATTTTAGGGTAGGTTTTCGTTTTTTAAGATTTCTGTTATAAATGATTGAATTAGGATCATAAATGGTGAATAACTCCATTGATTTGTCATTTCCAAATTTTGTTGTTTTTATTTGTAATAATTATTTTATTTTAGTAAAAATTAAATTATTATTTAATAGCAAATTCACACTGTTTAATTTAATGCGATTTTTCCCATTATAGCCACTAATGTAGATGATTTGCCCATACAAAGGCTTTCATATAAATGATCTCATTGCCAATAAATCAGATCATTTAAGGTAAAAAGTGTCGAATGCGACCCTAAAGATGAATTTCCCACAGGGAAATTATCAAAAATCGAAATACATGTCATATGTTTTATATGAAAAATGTAAACAATTAACAGCTGAGCTGTAAACAAAGGTACACAGGAAGTGAGTATTTAATTAAATCTTTGTTTTTATTAATTGAATTTGTAATTGATAAAAAAAATGTATATAAATGATTTAATATACCAATTACATGTTCAATTTTTTTTGTGATATATTATTAAGTGAAGTTAATAAAAGTTTATAAAAGTTCTGTCAGTATCATAAATGAGGTCATTATAATGTGAACGTTCGCTCATAAATATAAATGAGCAAGTGTCTTAATAGAGGCAGTGTGAATGTATTATAGGTAAGCCATACATTTCACAATTAATCCTAATAAAACTGCACATATAAGTCTGAAATTATAATCGAAAATAGTATAAACAGCAACGAGCCCATATTACAACCTGTACTCGTACTTACTTAAATAAGTATAAGTCAACTGCCACCACATGAATAAGGAAACCATATTATTATCACTTCAAGTGCCAGCTAATTCCTTATATTAGAGAGAATAAGAATTTATTTTCAGTATTAGTGGAAATATTATAATAGCAATTAATTTCACCTAATTATGATGATTATGACCAAAAAAATCATAGAATATCAGAAATTTTTTTCCGGGCAAAATTTAGATAGACTAAAATAAATATAATTTTATGAGTACTATTATATTAATTCATTTAAAACACAGACAAGTACTCTTCAAATTTTCGATTTTATTACTTGCATTTTTTAGGCATCAACTTCTTGTGTTTTTTCTCAGCTCCATCAACTTGGGAGAAGCGGAGTGGTATGTTCAATTTTTAATGCATACTGAAACAGTGGGGTACTCTGTTTTAAGTGAACTATGAATCCATAGATATTTTGTGATGATATTAAAAAAGAGGTTTAGGTATATCTTTTTTTCTTCGTTTGGATTCCTTGAAAAACAAACTTTTGTTTACAGAAAAAAATATTTAATATTTTTGTTTAATAGCTAAAAAAATTCTGTCCATCTGCTATCTATATACTTATAATGATATTATTAATACTAATGTGGATATGCTATTTTACCTAACACATGCAAATTATGTAGGCTGCAGAAAAGTACAGCTTTAAAAGTGTTTTTTAATAATAAAATAATAAGTTGTTATAATATATAGTTTGTATGCCAACCTGTACAAATAATATAGTGTGAAATGATTCGGTACATAAAAACATTATTTACATACGACTTTAATTTACAATAAAGAGGAATACCCACTGCTGCCGACATTGAGTGTAAGTTACGGACGATTCTTTAGGGCTCGCGTTATCATTTCAACAAAATGGATCTGACTGAATAAAAAAAAATTTGGCATTGAGATTCCCAGACATATTCTCTATTGTTCCCAGAGAGCATTGACTTTTAAGACTTTGGTTTTTCTTGATGAAAAATTAGTTTCTCTTTCTTAAGTTATGGACGCGCACATCTAATCCTTACATAAGGCTTTTTACAGTACTTTTTTTTTCAAGATAAAGATTGAATATTATACGCATATCGTATATAAGTAACTGATTGATAATTTAATTAAATAATAGACATTAATTGTTAAATTTGTCAAAGAAATATTAATAATATTGAAAATGGTACACAAAGTAGAGCAGAAATATCTGTTTTAAATAAATAAATTATTTATTCTGTTAGAAATTTACAAATAAAATTAATGTTATTAATTAATTTTTGCTTTTTTCTTATTTATTGAAAGTAATATAAAAGAAAATCGACTTCAAGCTTGACAAAAAAAATATACATACTTTTGAATAATTAAGTTCGATATCAATATTTTCAAAAAATTAAAGTACAACTGTGTATGAGAGTAATCCTTGGAAAGCGAAACCAATTAATCTGTTCTATAATTTATATTAAAATTTTGTTGAAAGAACAGTGTGTAGTTTGAAATACTGATAACTGTTTGTCCTTCTGGGCAACAAGTCGAGTCGTCAATTTTTCTCAATAATGAACTGATGAAACCATACGTTCTAGTTGGTTACACAATGGAAGATGGAATCATTGTTACTGCGATAATTCTAAAAATTGTTAAAAATGTTTTGCCTCCTTTAATTGCAAATGTGCTATTTTTTACTCAAAACTATAATTTCAAAACAGTTATCCAATGGTTTAGTATATAAATAAAGTATAGTTACACATTTTTTAAATGTTTTTACTATGCTAAATTAGCTATTATTTTTAATTCATTTCTTTGCAATCGGTATTTATAATGCTTATCATACTTACAGATTGTGATGCTGGGACAGTAGATCTATACATTGTTATTATTATATTATTTACTGCCATAAATTTAGTCATATTTAGTCAAAGTATGAAATTCTCATTTCGTATTTCACACTTTCTGAAAATATGCAAAAGTCTCTCCCAAGTACCACTTATTAACTAATTATTTAAAAGTCATTAGATATTAATTCATGTAAGTATTTTGTGAAATCTGATATCTTAAAAAGTCATCAGACTCAAACTATTCAGCCTATCCATACATTTCTTACAATAACTTTTATGGGTAATATCTGACTACTAAAGTTTTTGTTGTTAATATGTATAAAATTTATTCTATAAACTATTTTGTTCTGAAATTTAAAATTTTAATCGAACAATAATGGAAACATATTAATTAATATCTGCAAATAATTATTTTGGGCTTGTTTATCCTATAGAAATGTAATTATGTAAAACACAACTACAATATTACTACATAAATAATGGTGAACCATTGACTACAGCTTTTCATAATAATCCTTCTCAGCAAAATGAAAAATTTTTAATGTCAACAGAAAATCTGTTCCAATCATAAAGTTCTAAAAAATATGTGCTGGAATTATTATTTCAAATAATTTTAACAATGAAAAATGTATTAAAAAGGAAACAATAATGCTTTAAATTTCATTGTATAAAATTTTCCTAATTGTGATTTTAACAAATAACACTTAACCGAATTTGGCTTGTAGAGGTTAAGTTCATTATTGTTACACAAACCTTATTCATTATATTGTTAACCTTATTCATTAAAAATTATGCATCCTTATTAAGGTCAGTAAACAGAAAATCCTTCCCTTTTCACAAATCGTTCATATAATTTGAAATTTTAAGCGCCTTACCGTTGACCATTGACCAAAAAAAATTGGGAGGAAAATTTAAAAATAACCCAGAAACAAAAAGTAAATTTCAATAATGACAAAGCCAAAATATTTGGCTTACGAAACCACATATTGAATTTACACAAAAAAGGCGCTCGAATGCGACTAAATTTCAAATAAATTATCTGACCGTTTTTGCACAGTGAAATTATGGTCCACGCTGAACATGCTAAACGTAACTTTATTGCTGGCAATGTCAACCCCAATAATTTAAATCCCACAAAAGGTACGAGCACTAACTTTCTATTTGTGTAACACAATTTGACAAATGACCCAATACCTAAAAGGAGAAAAACATATAAAAAATTAAAATGATGAAAATATATATAAATGTTCCCAACCAAAAACCCATTAACCCATATAAATACATTGTGGCTCTGTCGGGGTCGTACGGGGAATAACAAAAAATGTGGACAGCACAAATCTTTCATAATTTTGCTTAGTTTAGCAATGCAATTTGGTGCATAACTCGTGCACACCAAAAAGTCCTACCGCAAATACTTTTTATGTATCCTGGCTGCGACTTACAGTGCCATTCACGTTATTTGCACATACTTTAGGGCATATACGGCACAAAAATATTTGTACACACAATTCGGCAGAGGCAGATAGACAGCAGCACATAAGGACAACCAAAAGAGCAACTAAAAAATGTTTTGTCGATGAAGCTAGACTGGCAACGTGACAATGGAATTTGTTGTTGAAAAGACAAAAGCCGAATTTGTTCACTAAGATGTTGTTGACGTTGTTTCCGAAAGTGCATATCCTCTTACCTTTGCCACTTTTTTAAGTGATGCTGTGATGCTGCCATCAGTACCAATGGTAGAAAAGCGGCACTGACTTCAACTACCAAAACATTTTAGCCGCTGAACACGTGGTAGGGGCCATAAAGCTTTTGGAGTGTTAGGAGAGCATATTTTCATATTTGAAGAGCGCTAACATTGTGTGAGAGTATGATTTTTTGTCTCCATCTATATCTGCTATTTCATTTACACGGCGACAGCATTATATTGCTATCTACTTTTTACTGAAAAAGAGTGTAGGAGCGTAAAAAAAGCTTTTA